TAAATATCTTAGGGAACATATGTATATCATTATTTGTTTTTTTATATATTTTTTTGTTTTAGTTTTTACAATTTCTTTCCCTACATATTAACAGTTATTATTATTTTTTTTAATTTTTATATTCCATCACTACAATGCTTTACCTATAAAATAGATTTTACTTTCCTTTATAATTTCATTCAGTGATTATTATGCAATTATTTTAGCTCCAATATTGTAGTACTGAACCCCTATTACCCAACTGTCCTCGTTAATTTATCCTAAGAGCTTAATTAATACTTAATGTATTACATGTATTTTGTCATTATTCATTGTAATAAGTCTTTTGACCAGATTTGTAGTTAATATATATGAACAATACTGTTATTCTAAAGGGACCTAGTCCCAGAATAAAGATGATTTTTCTATTTCTATTTCTATAGGTGTGAAAGTAAAAAAATACAAGAACTGACTAGACTATATAAACAACTCTTACATCTTCTGGAATACAGATCCTCATTTAACCTACGAAACAAGCGATTAATATACAATACTATACTTAGACCAACTTGGACATACGGAGAAGAAAGTTGGAGGTCGGCAAAAAAAAAAAAAAAATACTGTGCCACTAACAACCCATGAAGAGTTATAGGTTCAGTACAATGTGAGAAAGTACTGTTACAAGGCCAACAGGTTTTTGCCTTAATTAATTATTTAATTAAGAGTACCCACTTTATAAGAGGCTAGGTTTGCCTCAGGAGGGTACTACCACATACAAAATATATAGGGTATACAAACCACAAAATATAAAATTATTCGAAAAATTGTTAATAAGTTATGGTATATTTCAAATCACATTATACAAAACGACTTAAAAACATTAACAATAAAATTTCACACACACATTTCACTCACCTCAATCCACCAATTCTATCAATTTTCTCCTCACTGTTACCAGCCAGACGCAGAAAATAGTCCAAAGATCTGCTACCAAGACAAAATCACTGAAACTAATCACAGAAAAACATCAAATTTACTAGATGCATTGCCAAGCAATCGCAAATGTAAAAGAATTAAATAAATGAACAAAATAAAACTCAACAAGATGGAAATGTGAGTATAGAACACTTTCCTTAGATACAAGAATCATTTTCAGATCAATGAGGTGTACTCTGAAAAAAAATTTGAGATTGAATTTACCCCCATACCAGACTGAAACGACTAGAAACCGCCCGACGTTTTCGACTACTGCAGCACTTACTAGACAAACGCTCTAAGCTTTCAATCAATTACTAACGACTCATATATATGACAATAATAAAACCTATTTGGACCCACGAAATTGAGCTTTGGGGCTCCACTAAACTATCGAATTCCTCTCGTATCCAATCCTTACAATCCAAAATCCTTCGTAAAATCCTCACCGCTCCTTACTTTGTCACAAATAAAATCATCCATAAAGACCTTAATGTTCCATATGTTTCCGATTTGACCCAATCCAGATACCTATCCTTCCATAACAAACTGCAGAACCATCCGAATCCTCTCGTTTCAAACCTTGCTTCCACCTCGATCCCTGATAACCCTCCGAGGCGTCTGAAAAGAAGATGCCCTCGGGACCTTCTAATATAGAACTTTAATTTGAGTTCTACCAATGGGTATTTTTTCTTCATGTTGTACATGTCATGTTACCAATGTCACATTTACTTGTTGTATTTTCTATGTAATACAGTTGTAAATTTCATTAAAATAAAAAAAAGAAAAAAAAAAAGAAAGCGATTGAATTTGAAAGAAAATATTTAAAAATTGAATTTGGAAATGCGTTGCCGATTTTAATAAAATCAACAATCAGCAATGGTTAGATTAAAAGCAATTTTTATTGTTTTTACTAATAAACATTTTATTATTATGAAGAGACAGTACATTCTCGCAGGAAGTTGTTTTTTGTCTTTAAAAATATTGATTTTAATAATGTAATAGAAAGCCTGATAATAACTCTGATTTTATGTAATTTGCAAACAGTAATCAAGGCATTAGCACAGAGAGCATCAGCCTCTTCTCATTTAGTCAGTAAGCTTTTCAAGATCTTGAGTCTCCCTTGATAATTTCCATGCTAAACTTGTGCAAATAGGCTATGGAGTTTTCTTCTTCCTTGGTCATGAAGGAAATTTAGTTATACAAGAAAGCTGATCAGAAGGCTTGACGGGGTACTGAAATTCTCCCTTTAGGAAAAGAACTTTTATCATGTATCAATCGAAACAGCATCAGCATTGTTTTGTATGGAAAAGGAATATAGTGTGGGGACTTTAAGCAGCACGCAAAGCAGTGAAGTCAAATCAAGGGCCCTTGATTCCCTTCTAGTTGAAGAATCTAATTGGACTTATAAGGAAAAACTTTTATAGATACTTACAGAACTGACAGGTCATTACAGAAATAAATGAAATTAAACGGTCTGTGATTTAAAGAGAGCTAAGAGAATATACATGTGATTGTAGTTAAATCCTTCTAATATGGCTCATTGTTTCCAATTGCTCAACGGCGTTCGGTGACAATGTTAGATAATAAGACGAATACTAAACTAATCTGCTTTAGGAACCGTGATAAATATTACAATACAAATTGATATAATAATTTTAGAGTTATTTTAATATATAATAATTTAATTTTTTTTTAATATAAAAGTTAGTCAGTAATAACTTTTAGCAGCGAAAAGCAAAAAGCATGCTATTCATATCAAAGAAATATAATAATATTGCCAATTCTACATATTATTTCCTCTAAAATAGGAAATTAATAGGTCTCACACCCTTTAATCGGATCTTGCTTGGCAATCCACGTGAGACGAGAGCCCACCGAAGAAATTGAAGGAAATCAAACAATCAGTAAAACCATGGTCCAACTCAAACCACCATATTCGTAGAGAGGAAGTTACCTGAACTATACTAAGGATAGGACATACAAACCTAACACATTCCTATATGATAAGCAAACAGCCTGTACCAGTATGCCAACACTGCTACGGTGCTCTCACATTAAGTCACATTATTCAAGAGTGTCCTTATTACGTATCAACTCTAACCAAATTATGACTCATACCAAAATTATAAGTTGATTTCAAAAACTATGAAGTTTAAATAAGGTCGTGGAGAAATGTTCTTAAACCTAATTATTTGCTGAAAAAATTAAAATTTGAGATTATTTTTCTTACTGTATAACGATTCATTACTCAGATGATTGAAATAAAGATTAGGTAGGTGTTGATGACCATGGGGCTTTATTCCTCTAAGCCCTAAACAACAACATCGACCCTTTAATCGTATTCTATTATTTTTTTTCTTACGAATGCCTGAAGGTCCCACGGTATTAAAAGAAAATAAAGATGTAGATTTGACTTACCTTTATTAGATAAATAGTTATGAAATTTCCAAAGAATATAATAAACATGTTTAAATAGTCTTTGAAAATTAAATTAAATTAGTTATTATTAAACACTTTATTCAGAAATATTACAATTTGTCACAGTTTAAGGACACTTATAATAGAGTTCAGAGAGTGCAAAATTAAATTAAATAAATAAAGAATTCTTAACTCTAAATATTGGTATGTAATTCCTCAAACCTTCAAAAAAAAAAAAAAAAAAAAATCGCAAGGGAATCGTCTTCTTATGCCTAATGTTTTTTTTGTTTTTTTCTGTTGGCATTACAGACCATTTAGATATTTTCCCGCCTTAACAAGCCTGCTCCATCTCTGCCTGTCTTGGGCTATTTCTTTCCATTTATTTATTTATTCCATTTATCTATTTCTTTCCAGCCAGCAGCTCTGTTGCATCTTATTTGATTCTATCTATCCATCTGCTTTTTGGCCTTCCACGTGGTCTTTTGCCTTCTCCTGAAGCATTCATTGTTAAGTAGAGGCTTCCAGATGGATTGCTACAAGCTACATGCCCTGCCCATCTTAACTTCCGTGCCTTCATATCATGGGATATTGATTAACCAGTTTCTGTAAGCAGTTCTTTATTGGCATTTCTTCTCCATGTATTAGTACTCTGATCCCAGATCGCTCCGGTTATCGTGTGAAGGATTTTCCTCTCAAATCTTTCAACACTTTTTTCTAGAGAGCTGCTTAGTGTCCAGGTCTCACAGCCATACGTTAAAACTGGCTTTATCATAGCATTGTACATTCTTAGTTTGAGATTTCTTAAATTTTTTTGGGGTTTCAATACCTTTGAGATGGAGAAGATAGCTGTGTTTGCGCTAGTTATACACTGGTCTATTTCAGCCCGTCGGTCATTAATTGAAGTTATTATGGAACCTAGGTGTTTGAATTTTTCTACCCTCGGGAATGATTTTTTTTCTAGGTAGATCCTATTATTGGGGTGGAATTTTCGGCTTATCATATATTTTGTTTTGTCTCCATTTACTTGTAGGCCGATCTGCTCTGCCTCTTTTATCAGTATTATTGCGACTTTCTCACTGTCTTCTTGATTACTTCTAAGTACAGCTATGTCATCTGCGAATCCAAGGATTTTATGATTCATACCGACGTGTTAATTAAATAATTTACTCTTTTATATTTAAATATTCATAAAGATATTACTCATCCACCTATTCACTTACCCTTAACACATCAACTTCATAACGGCTGTGAGACCAAGAACTGGTATAAAATAGCAGTGGTAGTACGAGCAATATGAACTTAATTATATTTATGAAAATAAAACTGAACTTTAAAATATTTTTTGAAACACGGTAAAAAACTAATAAATTCACAAATAAAATGTCTAAGTGACCAAACTAATTATAAAGTTTACTCACTCATGTTGATAGAGCTTCGTAGAATGTATACATAAAGATTGTATAATATTAACAACTGTACCTACACATGAATATATTTTAATAACATCAGAAACTTGAAAATAAATATGAAGCCATTCAACTTCTTTATAACATATATTAAAAGTTAAATTTCTTTGTTGAAATAATTTATAAACTTAAATGGCAATCAAATCGATAATTCATTACTTACTCGGGGTTTTGGGCGATTTCATCATACATGAGGGTTATAATGTTTTCCTGTGGAACACCTTTTCGAATAAGGGAATGGTAAGCATGGCAGAAATCAGCCTGTAGAAATAAAATTATGTTATCATATGTATACAAAATTTAATTTTGACTGAAATAAAACAGTAATATATTTATATTTCTTGCAAATAAGCACAGAAAAAAACCCTATAAATTAACAAATAAGAAACGTTTTTTGACGAGCGCCTGTAGTCGGAAGTTTATCAAATTGTGACCGCATAAAACGAACAATTTGTGCTTATGGTCATAAGTTATTTCCTTCAAGTTTTATTTTGGTATTTGGAAACGGCTATTTATTCATCCGAAAAGCTAAATAGGTATCAAAAATCTGGTGAGGGCAACACACAACTTTCACTTACCACTAAACTTTGAATAGAAATAATGTTTGGCCATATCGGGCTATTATAAAATTTTTGTATTGCACTTTTAACTGAGCTGAGGCTAAAAAAATACAGCTAAAAATCATAAATACCATTCAAATAACCAAAATCCTATTTATTATATCACAGGTTGATTATGGATTGTACGATCCGTTGATCATGTATTGCACGATCAATTGATTATGGATTGTAATAAAATTATTGAACTACAGTAAACATATTTAAGGTTATAAACTTATGCATGGAATGATTTTATATTTTACTTCTTCTTTCACACCAGTACAATGAAATAGTTATTTAAACAATGACATTCCCTTTATTAGGTGGATCTTAAATATTTCTTTCAAACTTAAAAATATTTTAAAAGGTTGCATTTAGTTAATAAATTTCATTTAATTTCCTTGAAAACATGTGATTTACGTTAAATATTATTAGTTTTCAAAAAATATTATTTATAATTTACCGATACCTTTTACAACTTTCTATATTCGATATTGTTTTTTTCTAAAATTCTCCGCTTTCCAACGATATATTATACGTATATCTTCGGACTAGTATTTCCAGAGATTCATTTTCGACCTGGATAGGCATTTTTATTTTTTTTTCTCCTTTATTCAATTATCAAATTCTTTCAAAAGTTATATTTAGCATTTTTTCATAACTTTTAATAATGAGAGATAATTGATTATTTAAAATAAACCGTATTAAAGGTACTTTAGAGGAAGATGCATATGAACATGGGGCACTTTAGCCCTGTAAAGTGGCATCAACGGGGATAAGGCCTAAATGATATTAAAGACCACTTAATTATACAATGATACACTGAGTTTAATCAAAATCGTTAGAGCCATTTTTGAGAAAATACAAAGAAACGCACTTTGTATTTAAAATTTACCTCTGCTTATAAAATGAAGCTTGCAACGTCAATTTTATTGCATATACATGATAAAGTTATAAAGAGGATGTCCCGTTAGTAAAGGAAAATATTTAATGGGGTGATAGCAAACCAACAGGAAAATTAAATTTTGTTATTTTAAATAAGTCACGATTTTGTTAAATAGTAAACAAAAATAAAAAAAAAGTAATTAACAATTTTTTTTTTCTTTTTCTCGCTTCTACCCTAAAGGGTCATTGGCGTTTTCTATATAATTTATACTCTATTATAGTAGTTGATAATCTTTAAAAATTTAAACAGGATAGAGACTCTCTCTTCATTGTCTTGTAGTATTTCGTTTAGCGTTTTTCCTAGTTCTATTTTTTCTCTGTGCCTTTCGAATTGGGAACATTCTACTAGAAGGTGTTTCACAGTTTGCGGTGTATCATTACATTTTTCGCAAGTAGGAGCTTCTAGGCCTCTTAAAAGGTAGCTATGAGTGAACTGTGGGGGCGGGGTGGCCGAATAGGCTAAAGCGTGTGCACAGCACCGCTAGTTGCCTGGCAACCGGATAACAGAGATTTGAGATGATATAAAAAGTACGAGTTCGCGTCCCGGTGCCGGAGGGGATTTTAAATTCCCCGCCCTCACCCCCCTCCCTCCCCCCGGAAAATCCCGTATAGCCTAAAAGGCGAGGTAGGGAAGAACAAAACAAAAAACAAAAAAAAAAAGCTATGAGTGAACTGGCAGTGCCCAATCCTTAGGCGGCACAGTATAATTTCTTCATGCCTGGACTTTCTGTTGCTAGTGAGCCATTTATCGCAAGTGGGTTTCACTTCTTTCAGCTTAAACTCTTTGATCCTCCACTCTTTTTCCCACTCTGCCAGTTGTTTTTTCTTTATTTCGTGTATCCAGTCTTCTAAAGTGATATATTTCACTCTAGTCACTTCCTCTTCTTCTCCTCCACTTCTTGCTAAATGGGCTGCATTGTCAGCTTTTTCATTCCCTAAAATTCCGCAATGAGCTGGTACCCATACCAAGACAACTGTTATTCCTTTATTTTTTACCTCCCACCACGTGTTGAGAATTTCCTTAATTATGGAGTTTTTAGGATATGGGTTATCAATGGCAGTTAAAACACTGTATGAGTCCGTCACAACTACCCAGTAGTTCTTTTCAGATTCGCTTATAAGATATAAAGCATTCATGATGGCAGTGGCCTCTCCTGTGAATATGGAACATTCTCCAGGTAATTTAAACAGTAAGTGGTTCTCTTTACTCGCAAAAGCACATCCTACGTTATCTCCTTCTTTGGATGCATCCGTATATATAAAATCGAAATTTTTATATTGTTCCGTTAGCTTTAAAAAACATTTTTGTATTTCGAGCGGATATGCCTTTGCAATTTTAGTCATGGATTTATTAATCAATAGTCTGTCTTTTTTCCAACGCGGCATTTTTAATTATGGGTGGGTCTTATAATATTCGTATCCATGTTTATTTTAGTTGTTGCCTTGTAAATTAATTGTTTAAAAATGTTATTTTCTATATCTCTAAGTCCGTTTCTTTCTGATTCTTCTGAAAATAAATATGGAGTTAATGGGTGGTGGGAAGATGCTTTCAATTTGGCAATGTATTTCAGAGTTAGGTATTCTCGTCGCAAGTTTAAGGATGTTTCTCCAGATTCAGCATAGATAGATGCTGTCGATTGGAGAAGTTCGAAACGCTCCAGTGCAAATTCTAAGGGCTGAATTGTGTATGGAATCTAATATCCTCAATATTGTTTAGTTGGATGTACTATATATCTGTGCTCCATAGTCTATTTTGCTGCGTATTATAGACTGGTATATTTTTATTAGAGTGCATCTATCGGCACCCCAGCTAGAGTGTGAGAGACATTTAAGAATTCCGAGTCTTTTTATGCATTCCTCTCACAAATATGTAATATGTTGTATCCAATTCAATCTCTTATCAACTATTAACAATTACTTCACAGTAAATTAGACCAATTTACATTAAATGAAAGCTGAGTTTTTTATTGTTAAAACTATATTAAGAGGACTTTTGAGCGGCTAAACAAAGCTAGGTTCTTTCTTTAAATAAATCCTGAATTATTTGCTTTTTTTTATCATCATCCCCCAACTATATTAGATACTCCACTTTTAGGTAAACTTCCTTATTTAATAAGCTATAAGTCTGTATTAATTAAGATGAGGTTTATTACCGAAAAAGTTGAGGTTCACCTCAAGTAATTTTTAGCTACTTAAAGTAATTTTTTTTTTATTTATCGCTTCCAATTAAAAAAAAAAAACGACATCTAAAAAAAACAAACACGCAAAGCTTAAAATGTCTACTATTATGCGGGGCGTTGTCTCTATATACTTTTTTTTAGCTCTTGAGACCTGCGATATACCCCTTTAAATATTTACCTTTACTTACGGGATAGACTGTATTTATTTAAATTACGTTTCGTGAATTAGTGAATTAGTCTATTTTGCTCTATAATAAATTCACAAATACCTGATGCCTGTAGTTATCCCAGCCATTGGAACCAGCAACGAGAACTGCCCATGTATTTGGTCCAAAAAGAACTTCTTCGCTGACAGCGTGACTGAGTGCCGCCACGAAGCACAAAATAGATAAGCCTGTCAAAGGGATTAAATGACTTCGATAAATATAGATAGGTGTTAATATTCAAAGTACATTAACTAATTTTAAATTTATATGTAAAACCTTTGAAAATCTACCTTATTTATTTTTAGTGCAGTAATTATAGCATGATGAAAATATTTTTTAAAGTTCTTTTATCTTATTATAAAAAACATTCATTTAGGATGATGTATAGTTTGGGTCTCAAACTGAAATGTACAGCACCCTCGTCTTTTTTTCATATAAAGTAAATAGTTTTTTATTTTGAGAAATAGTTTTTAAATAATTATAAATAAAATCACAATCAATAAAAAACAAAAAATAAATAAATTAAAAAAAAAAATCGAAACATATGGTTCAAGCCATTTTATTGACGTTGACAAACAAAATAAAATATTAATAATGCTTTTATATTAATTATATGTTTATTACTTTTATATATTTTATATTAATATTAATAATTTTAATAATCAGGCTTTCAATTGTCTTTTCCAAAATAATTAAAACCAGTTTCAAGATATTATTAATGTAAGTCAAATGAAGTAGATTAATTCTAAGCTCATTTGAAATTATGTGCTTATATGGGACAAGGTGGGACAGTAATTTTAAATTCTTTCCACCCCCCTTCCAATGTAGAAATAATTTAAAATAAAATAGCAATAAGTACAAACGACGAATTATTAGAGTTACGAAACTTCTGAAATAAACTAATTACTAATTAAAGACTAATTCCCACACCCTTATTCTAATCGCTCTATTTCTTCTTCCTTGTTCTTTCCACTCAATATGGTTTAGTTTAAATAATCAACTATATCTCATTATTATAAGTTACGAAGATTGGCTAAATATAACATTTGAAAGAATTTGATAATTGAATAAAGGAGAAAAAAATAAAAATGCTTATACAGGTCAAAAATGAATCTCCGGATATACAAGTCAGAAGGTATACTTATAATGTGTCGTTGGAAAGCGGAGAATTTTAGAAAAAAACAATATCTAATATAGAAATTTATATGTTGAAAATTATTTTTTAAAGAAAAAGAAATAAATTAACCACCTACGAGTATGTAAGATGGCGTTTATTTGATTGTTTAAGTACTATTAAATGTAATTACACTAGATGTACTAATACTTTTATAAATAGTTTTTTTCACAAGTCATGGTTATATTTTATCATTTTGAGGGTGGCTTCAGTCCGAAACCTCCCTTCCCACATAGATCTGCCTGTGACCAAAACTGATCAAAAATAAAAGTTTTTATTTATTGATGATATTTACAACTGTATTAAATTTAAAAATACATCAAGTAAATCTGTACACTGAAATGATACAATCACATGAAAAAGCTTGTTGAGAAACTACTTATTGGTAGCACTCTGATAATATATTTACATAAGTAGATCATAAGGCCTTCTTCTTTTCAGACGCCTTGTAGAATTATCAGGTATCGAAGCAAGGTTTGAAAAGAGAGGGTTTGGATGATTTTGAAGTTTGTTATGGAAAGGATAGGTATCTGGATTTGGCTAAATCGGAAACATATGGTACGTTAAGGTCGTTATGGATGATTTTATTTTTGACGAAGTAAGCAAAGGATTTTGGATTGTAAAGATTGAATACGAGAGGAATTCGATGGTTTAGTGGAGCTACAAAGCTCAATTCCGTAAGTCCAAATTGGCCTTATGATAGTCATGTATATGAGTCTTTTGTAATATATTGAAAGTTTAGAGCGTTTGTCCAGTAGATGCTAGAGTAGTCGAAACCGACGAGCAGTTTCTGTCTTGTATGAGGACTCCAAGTGAGTCTTTTGTCCAGATGTAGTCCTAGGTATTGGATTTGTTCAACAGGGATAAGTTGAGAATTGTTAAAGAATACCGTAGTACAGGAAGTCATTGGTTTACGACGAAAAGTAAGGTAATTTGATAGGCTTTATTGGAATTTATTTTAATTCTCCAATTTTGACGCCAATCTTTAAGGTTAAAACAAAAATTTCATTGCAAGCCTCAATTAAAGTAAATCAGCTGTTCCCTTGAGGTTCCCATAGAAAGGTATAGAATTTGTTTTCCAGCCTTAAGAAGGATGAAAATCTGAATGAGAAGTTTAGTTGTTTGTTCCTACCTACCCCATTCACATATGGGAATACCTTCTATTCTGAATTTGTTGTAAAGGTACTGCATTTGTGGTTGGTCCGGAGTAAAAATATCATAACTCAATCTTTCATGTTCAGTTTCTTGAATGGGTCTTGAGGATTGTTCTGAGGATGTTTAACATTCCATCCTTATCTTATAGCAGGTTTATTTATGGATTAAACCTTATCCAAAGAAATATGAGCGTCTGTCTGCCGTCCTGTTGCGTTATTCAATTTCTCATTACTCCTACTACCTCGGGGTGCAAAACCAATTTCTTGTTGATGTGTTTTCTTCTCTAGTTGTACTGCCAATTTATGATAGCATGTGTCCCAATATGTTATTAAGATAGCGAGGGCTGATAATGCATCCACCAGGAGTTTATTTTATTCTTATGAGTTTGGAAAGATAAAAATGTTTAAATAGTACCTATAGTTGCATCCTTCGATTTGTTCGATAATTACTTGAAAAGCGCAGGCATGGAATTTTCAATTGCCCTCTCAACCGGAAATCCAACTTATATTCTACCACCTTCCTTCTTAGTTGCTTCTGTGGCTGAACCATCCGTGCAAGTTATACTCCATTCATGGCTTGGGTAGTTTTGTTTGGGGGATAAAGGATGTCATATCAGGAACTATCATACTGTCTTCACTGATGATTTTTGGTATGATAGTAGTAATGCGGGATTCACCATATTTTATAATAAGGTTTTATATTTTTATTGATAATTAAGCAAATAGATGTTTGGTTTTGCAGAGGGGGCTTTGCGTTTTTAGTCTGGATGAACAGCCTTGCGTAACTTTTATTCTGAGTCGGTGATTTACGCGCAGCTTTTGAGTTCACATTTTGGAAATTTTAATATTCTATCTTTTAATATTTGTAAGCCAGTTGTGGTTTTTGTTGCATTAATATGCATGGTCATGTGCAAAGAATGTCCCTACCAAGAAGGCTGCTACAACATAGAATATTCTTTGTATGCTGAAGGAAAACGTATGGAATAGCCATGTCTAAGATTGCTTGATGACGTGAAGGCAGACCTGCACTGGATTGGAATGAGGATATGCAGCTGACAGGAACAAGTGATAGAGAATAAAGTCGGATGGCAAAGCCCAACTATTATACATATAAACTATCATATATAATTTTATTCTTGCATGCCTGGAAATATACTTTTAGTGACTTTCATATTTGGATGGACATATACTTTCTATCAAACCGTATACAACAAAACATTGATTTCGACTACGTGAAAGAACTCTATCAAATAAGGGCTGCATTAACTAAAATAGGAGTTGATACTTCTAGTTTACATAATATGTACTAGTTTTTAATCCTAGTAGGTTTTTTACGTACTATTTTTAACACATATACGTTATTTCCATTTCTCTATAAATACAAAAATCGTTTTTTTTTTTAATATGCTGTAACCGCAAAGTGTATCATTCCTCTACTCCTTTGCTAAAATTGAAATTGTCACGACTTAGCTATAAGAATATACACTTGGATGAAATTCCCTATTGATTTCGACCACTAGCGGATCCAGGATTTAATTTTTTTGGGGGCGGGGGTTTCAGCCAGAAAGCTTTTTTTTCATACAAATGACGATAATTACTTTGGAAAAATAAACTAACTATCAATATTAAATGGTGTTTAAGTGATTCCTTAAGTCCTTTTAAATGTAATTACACGAATAATAATACTTTAAGAGATAATTTTGTTAATATATTTTTCCATATATTCCGCCCGTGATTTTGACAAACTGATGAAAATCTGAATCAAATTAGGGCTAAATCCCACCAAATTACCTTTACCCTTCGTCGTAAACCAACAACTTACTGTCCTACAGTTTCCTTTAACAATACTCCACTTATCCTTGTTAAGCAAATCCGATACCTAGGACTCCACCTGGACAAACGACTAACTTGGAATCCTCATACTAGACCGAAACGACAAGAAACCGCTCGACGTTTCCGATTACTTCAGCACTTCCTAGACAAACGCTCTAATCTTCCAATTAATTACAAAAGACTCATATACTTGACTATTATAAGGCCTATTTGGACTTACGGAGTTGAGCTATGGGGCTCCACTAAACCATCGAATTCTTCTCGTATCCAATCCTTACAATCCAAAATCCTTCGTAAAATCCTCAATGCTCCCTACTTTGTTACAAATAAAACCATCCATAATGACCTTAATGTTCCTTTTGTTTCAGATCTGGCCCAATCCAGATACCTATCCTTCCATAATAAACTTCAGAATCATCTCAACCCTCTCGTTTCTAACCTTGCTTCCTCTTCAATTCCTGATAACCCTCCGAGGCGTCTGAAAAGAAGATGGCCCCGTGATCTCCTAATGTAAACATATCATTAGAGTACTACCATTGGGTAGTTACTCAGCAAGTGTTTTTCATGTCATTATATACATTATGTTCTAATTTACTAGATGTATTTATTTAATACAGTTGTAAATGTCTTTAAGAAATAAAAAATTCGGGCTACATTGACTAAAATTGGAGTTTGTCAGATTTACTTATTTATCAGAATATATACTGGTTTCTAATAACCCTAGCAAAGATTTTTACGTATTATTTTCATACAAAAACATTTCAGTTTAATTTCTTTAAAAATATAAAAATTGCCAGCTATATCAATCTACCAAAGCTAATTATGCAATACAAATTTATACCCTATAAATGATCTCATAAAATAAATAAAACTAGTAAATAAACAAATAAGTATAAAGTGGTTATCCAGTGTGATGAGTATATACCACTACAAATCATCAAGAATCTTGAGTATGGTACTTGATCGAAGGTAATGAGAAATACATTCACGTTCAGGCGCAATGTTTCTTCTCTCTTTATTTCATTTTTGATTATTATATTTTAATTATAAGTGGTTCAATTTTATTTTATGCTATAAAATTGATAGAATATTATATTCAAATGAAGAATAAAAAATATAAAATGAATGATCTTTATCAGTCAAAATGTTGAATTTTTAATATCAGCAACGTTTTACGTATAGAGATCTTATACTTATACTTTATTAATGATAAATACAGTATTAGACAATTAAAGTATTGTGACAAGGGAAATTTAAGCTATATGATTTTATTTTTATATTAAAATAGGTTTCTTTCCTTTCCTTTCGTTCCTAAGGGTTGAAGCGTTGATGTAGAGTAAAAATAAACAAGGATTGTTGTGATCTATTGTGTGTTTTTATAATTAAAAATATAATAAAGTCCTAATCAACAGTAATAGAGTATGTGTATATGCTTGGCAGGTATGTAGAAGTATAACAGTAGTTTCTTGCGACAAAGGAAAAGTTGAAGAAATGATAATTTATGTTCTAGAAAAAACCTCAACTAAAAAATTTTAAACTCTGGAGAAAATATTCGGTTCAAATCTTTATAGATCGGGAGTGCTTTCTACTGCCAACGATACACCAATTTGAAAATGAAAAAAACTTTTTTTGGAAGCCTTTTCAAAGGTATCTTTGGCAAGGCTTTCACAAAGTGTTACATTTAGTAAGAGAAAATGCATTCTTTCAGATCTTTATTCTTCGACCTAAGCAATCCACAGTATATTATTTTTCATCAAGTTCTAATAACATGTTTGACTAATCTTAGTGTTCATTTATTGACGTAAAAATGATTATCATAAAAGATAGCGCGATTATCCGTTACTGAATTTTGTCCTCTAAGCGTCTCCTCAGTTCTTTCTCTAGAACACCAGAATCACACCATTCTCCCCAAGTCTCTGATCCACACGTAAGAACTGACGGAGATCAATCTTATTCCTCCTGAAAAAGTACTTGCTCCTGAAGTGTTTGGCTAGACCTAAATTGTTGCGGTTAACCGCAGAGAACTTTTTGTTGATTTTCTAAGAATTTCGTTTTGTGAATTTACTTCTGAGTCGATATGTAAAAGATTATCTACATTTTATTATCTACATTTTAAAATCCATAGGGTCCAACTTCAAACTATCCAGTCCCTGCTCCTAATCCTTCAATTTCCAAATCCTTTGTCTTGGCTTCATTGATAACCGAACCCAGCTTTTACCTTCTTCTTTTACGGCAGGTACCGCTGGGGTGTCGTTCAGATCATATGTAATAGTTACATTAGCATCAGAAATATCCATTCATTTCTTCAAAATGACTAATCGGGTTTACCACTTTTTTTGTGGTAGATTACGAATTTTAAAACTTATTTTTTATCAATCTTACGGCAACTTAATTCGTCGTAAGTCGATTTAATTCATAGTTGATGTTACATGTTTTACGCTTATAGTGGACGTCAGAAAAGGCTGAAATTAATTATAAAATTATAACCTTTTTTTTCTTCCCTACCTCCTACCTCGCCATTTAGGCTATACGGGATTTTCCCGGGCCGGAGGGTGAGGGCGGGGAATTTAAAATCCCCTCTGGCACCGGGACGCGAACTCGTACTTTTCTTTTTTTCTTTTCTCTCAAATCTTCATATATCTGGTTGCCGGGCAACTCGCGGTGCTGTGCACACGCTTTAGCCCATTCGGCCACCCCACCCCATAAAATTCTAACCGAATGCCATACCAATAACATCGAGAATATCCTCGGTAGTTATCAGCAAAAATCTACCAGTCTAAATAAATGGAAAAATTATACTCCCCCTCCCCTTTGAACCTGGTAATTATCCAAACCCACAAAAGACCGTACAACTGCGTCTAATTACTTCGACTCGGATTTGAAGGATTTATCCATTTTATTTTTTGATTTTTAAGTGGAAAATATCTTTCTGTACAGATCTTTACCGATCTTGAGCAGTAGATTTATAATACTTAATCCGATAGAATCTTTTTGATCTATTGCGAAAATTCATCCTAAAATATATCTTTTAGCAATTATGTACTATTTTTTTCCTGAAACAGAACTATTTTTGCGATTTCTAACAAAAAAATATCTATTCTAAGGCCTTCAGTCAGAGTTTGATTCAATTGAATATATTCCCGAATCACAGGCGGAACTACGGGCGGGGAGGGATTTCGGGCTGAAACCCCCAACAAAAATTAAATCCTGGATCCACTAGTGTCCCAAATCATTATGCTTTACCAAAATACTGAAGTTCCCTAAAACGCTGTACTTTCTTCCTTTTATCATTATAAGAATGGTTGGTGTTTTTTTCATTTGGCTGCTTTAAATGCTGATTCTCAGTGTATAACATGCCGAAAGTGAGTTTCTCGCCATAATCTTTATTAAAGATTGATTGTCTTCCAATACATCCTAATAAGAAAATATATTCTTACGTTTGTTATAAAATGGTAATTTTATTGAAGAGAAGAATAGTTGGAGTGATCAGTCAAATAAGAAGGAAAAAAAAATGATAATATTTATTTTGACATTTGCCAACGTTTCGACCTGAAATTCAGGCCATCATCAGGGCTAAGAAAGAACAAGATAACAAGGTATGAGAAACATAAGAAGTGTAGGTAAAAAAAATAAATAAATAAAGTAAAATGCAGTTGTTAGAATAATGACAATAGTAAGTACTAAGAGATAAATGATAATAACCGGTACAAAGTGTGGAATGATGAAATAAACATAATCAAAAAAGGTGATCATTCCACACTTTGTACCGGTTATTATCATTTATCTCTTAGTTCTTACTATTGTCATTATTCTAACAACTGCATTTTACTTTAATTTTTTTTTTACTTATGTTTCTCATACCTTGTTATCTGGTTCTTTTCTTAGCACTGATGATGGCCTGAACTTCAGATCGAAACGTCGACAAATGTCAAAATAAATATTATCATTTATTTTCGCCTTCTTATTTGACTGATCACCCCAACTATTCTTCTCTTCATTATTCAAGACTGTCAACCATTTACCCACAATTGGTAATTTGATTGTTATAATTGTATAATTTTAGAAAACCCTCTGCTCTTATAGCCCCTTAATTAAACTACGTAGAAGTACATCGATCACTTTTAAAACTTATCAGCGCAGTTGGCAATGTTGTAGAGTATGTTACTAAACCATGTATTTTTCTGTCCCACGTTCAGTTTTACAAAAGTTTTATTGATGAGTGTATTTAAAATTTTGGTTTAAAATCTAATATAAAATTTAGCCATCAGAAGTTGTAGTGCAATATTTACCTAAATTAATGCTCCATAGTCAAGAACAATACATAAGGTGAACAATTCTCAACCATAAGGTGAACCATACTTCTTAAATTATACACCTACTGAATTCTCTTTATTTATAATCATACTCCTTAAACCATACAGGTACTGAAAGATGGTTTTCTTAAAGAATGGAAATGTTGGACCATGGTCTCAAACTCTTCAAATCGAAAATAAGAAGTGTTTCAGACCTTAATGAAAATTATTAGTTATTTATTTATCTTATTTTCTTCATCTCTATCTTTCTTGAAGGATTACATATTCTTTATTGACTATTCCCTTAATATTCAGGTTGTCCCGAAAGTAGAAAGATATTTTAATAGGAGTAGTAGTAGCAGACCTTAAGAACTACAAACAAGTTCATATAAACAATATGCCAATTTTCAGTAGAAAAGTAGGAAATCCAAGTTTTGTGTTTTTTTTTTAAGTAAGTCTTGTTTTTGTTGAATATGAAACGATAACTATATATATATTTAATTTATGTAATTAACAATTGTTTCATTGTAAACTAGACAAAATTTACTTTTAACGAAAATAAAGTTTGTAATTGTTAAAACGATTTAAAGAGGACTTTTGAGTGACTAAACTAAGAAAAGTTCAGTTTTTTTAAAACAATCATAAATTATTCACGATTTTTTTTTTCATCATCCAACTACACCACAGGTATCCCACTTTTAGAAAAACTTTTTCGTTTAATAAGCTTTAGGTGTGTATTAATTAGAGATTTATTGGGGAAAAATTTGAGATTCATCTCAGATCTATTATATTCACCTCTAGGAGGCATTATAATAGATGTAAATATACTTTTTATTTATTAAAATATAAATTTGAAAAACAATAATTTTTCAAATATTTTTAAGGTAAAGTGTTTATGAAACTATTTTCGCCCAGATATGTGTTATAGGAATTGATTCGTATTTATAAGGGACAAAATAATTATCTAATAACTGATTTAATAGTAATCAGGTGCTTATGTCCTTGATATTTTGTCTGAAATATCATCACAACCAACCAGTGCTATAATAGGAAATTATCGAACCGTCTAATGATATCACCTGTCTAAGTGCTTGACTGGAGATACGGAAAATTACTAAACTTCAATACACTCCAACGCTAATAGAACGTCATATGGAGTTTACAAATCAATTACTGAATGGGATCTATTACAATTACCATAGTTTCAAATATTTATAATATCTGAGAATCGTACTCTATTGCTAGAGACATCTTGTACTCTTTAAAAATAGAATCGTTTTCGATGAAACTTTACTAACATGGTTAGTGAATAACAGAAAGTTTCAGAAAAAAGGTTTTCATGGCAAAGTAGAGAGTTGCAATTCAATGAAATTAAAACATATTTAATTATGGTATGAATACTCGAAATTGCAGTTTAGAAGTTTAATTTAAAATTACATTTTTGATGGATTCAGTCGACCTTTTTTTACTTTCACTTAAGTATATATGCAATGTATAGTAAGTGTAAGTATTGCGATCGTAAAAATTTTCTAATCTCAGTTGTCAACGGAAATACATGTTTTGAGTCAAAATAACCAAGTATCGCAAAATGGCCTGTGTGCGTGTGTGTTAACGGTCTAGCACATAAACGAAAAGCAGTACGAAACTGATATTAAGTATTTAAGGTTTGTATATGGGCCGGATGTGACAGCAACTTTCTCGTTAAAATCGGCTAACCAGAAGTGCAACTTTATATAAACGCTGAAACACATTTTTACAATTTTCTCAAAAACAGCTATAACGATTTTGATTAAACTCATTGTATTGTAAAACTAACTAACTAATAAACTAACTAAATAAAATTTTACTAAAAATATATTTTTGAATTCGATATAATTAGATAACTGTGACAAAATTATTCGGAAATTTAAATTTCTTTAATATTTGTTCAAATTATCAAACACACTTAGCTTTCGATAAATTAAATCATGAAATATTTCTATTTATATCAGAATGAAAGACCCTTTTTACTTTCACTTACGTATATATGTAATATATACTAAGGGTAAGTAATGCGATCGTGAAAATTTTCGAATCTCAGTTTTCAACGGAAATACATGTTTCGAGGTCCCCTGAGTTCAAATAACCAAGTGTCGCAAAATGGTCTGTGTGTGTGTGTATCTGTCTGTCTGTGTGTATGTGTCTGTGTGTGTGTGTTAACAGTTTAGCTCATAAATGAAAAGTGGTTCGAAACTGATATTAAGTATTTAAGGTTTGTATATGGGCCGGATGTGACAGCAACTTTCTCGTTAAAATCGGCTAACCAGAAGTGCCACTTTATATAAACGCTGAAACAAATTTTTACAATTTTCTCAAAAACAGCTATAACGATTTTGATTAAACTCATTGTATTGTATCATTGTATAATTAAGTGGTCTTTAATATCATTTAAGTCTTATCCCCGTTGATGTCACTTTACAGGGCTTAAATGCCCAATGTCAATATATGTCTTCCTCTAAAGTCCCTTTAATATGTTTTTTTTAAAGTTTATGAAATTTCCTAAAAAAACCAAAAAAATATCGTTAAAATCGGACAATTAGGAGGAAAGATATGGCCTCTAGTGTTTTTCCCCGAAGAGGCGAAAATTTGAATACATTTAAAATATACTTTTTTAATTGTTGAGACTAAAAAAACCTTTTTTCTACAGATATTTAATAAAGTATCTTTCCTAAGAACAGATTTTTATTGCCTGTCGTCGATATATTAAATAAACATTTTTTAATTATAATGGTCTTAATGACTTGTTATCTGTAAGCTTTAAGCTTTAGCTCCGTTCAAAATGCACTTCAAAAATTTTTATAATAGCCCAGCATTGCTAGAAAAAAATTTTTATTCAAAGTTGATCGGCAAGTGAAAGTTTTGTGTTGCGCGCACCAGATTTTTTCTTTTAAGTTGATAAATTTTACTATTGTTGTAACATTTTCCAAAACCCTTAGCTCAAATCAGTTCTCAGTTTCAAGTCCAGT